CGTATTAAAAGTTCGGAATCGGTACAAAAGAATGTGGCGGAAAATCACTTATGCAGATCCACGTCTTCGTATAGTTCACATACAACGGATTCATTTAAGCAGTATTTTTCAAGGGATTTTTTTAATTTTCAAGTTTCTTCTAAATGGTGGAGGGTATTAAAGTTCGGCCCGGCCGAACTTAGGACCTTATTTAATTGATACTTGTTGAATTTAATTTTTATACTTCTAGAGAAAATTGCGCAAATTAATGGAAGGATCGAATGAAGCAGAGCTAGAATCTTAACATAAGATCTAAGGTTTGTAGAAATATTGAGATACTCTAAGTTTGAAGAAAATCTCAGACTTGTTCCCATGTTTTATAAAAATTCAAAATTTTGACTCATTGTGGGGGAGACACCAGAAGGAAACGCCCCATATGTTTCATAATCACCCTACACCTAAAGTAGTTGATACTATTTCATTGTGTGAAGTCAAAAGCAGCGAATAATTATTTTGCATTTTATAAGACTTCTAGTTATTCATAATGTTGATGCCTTGGGGGGTGATATCAGAAGCAGCGGTGTGTTCTATTCTACTATCATACTTTCATTAAGACATTTGATAAGAGATTTGACTAAAGTCATCAAAATCTCCGGATACCAATCCGTTAGACTATTGTGTCTGGATTATTTTGGGTTGCAAGGTTGGTACTAAAAAATACCAAAGTGACGATCACCTCAAGCAAGTGCTTCGCCGGAATGGGCCAAAATACCGCAGAGCAACATTCGGGCAGCGTGTGACGGTTTCATTGGCCGTTTGAAGGTCATAATTCGTGCCAAGGGTGATCAATTCGAACAAATCTAAACTTTAATCTAAAATTTGATGCTATTTCCGACATTTTTTGCTTTCATTCAATAAAATTTCAAAAAAATGTAAAAATTATGGCGTTTGACTTTGTTGCAGTTTTTCTTTATCTCACCCTGTATGTCCGCTTCTTGATGTTTTAATCATGACGGAGGGTTTCCCAACTAGAACGCAATTTCTGCCTATAGACGAAGCCATCAAGATGGAAATGGACCTCGCTATTTCCAATATTTTAGGAACTAATCAAAATTAAGTTAAAGTTATCTCTTTAACTTTCCATTGGAATGTTGTTGTACATCGTGTCATTTGCACATGACCTTAGCATTTGGCTTCATATCAGGCTTTTATGCCGTTTATTATCTTGGGTGTGTTTCTTTAAATTAATTATATCAACATTTTTTTGGGTGAGACGGTTTTCGAATATTTTTAGATTCTAAAAATAGAACTTGAACTGATGAGTAATGGCATTCATCAAGGATACCATTTTAAGAATGAGTGCTTACAACAATTAATTACATACGGCGACATTTCACAAGCCCACAAATTTCGTTTTTATTTCAACGCGGAAAATATTTCGTTGACGATGATCTAATTCAAAATCTTTATCTTTCCTTATTGCAAATCAGAAATCAATTAATTTTGTATAACAGCCCTGTTATCGTCGTCTTAAAAATTCCATTTTAATTGCCCATACAATGCGGAATATCGCACTTAAATTCTTAACGATTACTTTGTCTATGGACTCATCATAAAAATTTCAATTCCGGCTACTACATTTCAATATTCGTACCCGATCTCGGATCCCAAAATGAATCAATTAAATTAATTATCACGTACTTCGAGCGGCGGCAGTTTGTCTCAATTCGGCGAACGAAGGAGGAGGCCTGTTTTCAACTCGAACACATCAGCATGCATATTGGCATAATTATCAAAATGTCATTTGAACATAGGGAAGGCAATAAATTTAGAGCAAAACATGTGGGGTATAATTAATGTAGTTAGTCGTGTCTCTTTTTATTAATGTAAAATATGGGAAAATGTGAAGACAAGTAATTATTGCTCAGCGATCTTTTTCATGTGATTTGCAAAAAGGAAATTTTTCTAGCAAAACCATGGGAGCTGTATGAGCCAAATATCTCAATAAAAACGTAATGTAATCATGGCGAGTTACCGTGATATTGGGGCCTACAAAGACGTGGACCTGCATTTTCTGTCACAGATGGTAGTACCGATTACTATTAAAAACGAAATTTGAAACAATTCCCGCAAAAAAAGTCTCTAAAATCATCAAAATACCGAATATAGGGAATTAGGATGTGTTAGCCATTAGGATCTTCAAATAGCAACTTTTAAACATTTCCAGCGAAAAGTGTGACATAAATCATCAAAATACCGAATATTTGGAGGTACATTTATATGGGGACTATATAAAAACTTAGACCTACATTGACAGTTCTATGCAAGGATATTTCTTACATAATGGGAACATTATCTACCAATTTACAGCAAATTTGGATTATTATTGGGATGAAAGCAGCCAACAAACCCCTAAATCTATCAGTACAGTTATATGGGGTCTATACCAAAATGTGGACATATATAGCCCATTTTCAATACCCAAAGTCCTGCAGAACAAGCACACATCTGAATAAAATTTTATTAATCTACATCATTTCGTTTGGAAGCTAGAGTAATTGCCACAGACGGGCAGACGGAAGGACATCGCTAAATCGACATAGTATTTTATGCTGATCAAAAATATTTATACTTTGTTGGTTTTAAAATTTGTATTTAGAGGTGTTACAAGCTGTGGAGGGTATAATAATAAAACTAAAAGAGTGCTCGTCAAGTGTAGAATTGGCGCGATTTAGAGCGAATTCACTTTCACTCGAACTCGAAAAAAGGCCAACGCATGCTCGCTCTCATTCAAGTGACACCGAGGCAACTCGTTTGATAATTCTCTCAGAAAATGTAAAATCAGTGTCGGATTACCTTCAAATTAGCAACTCTCAATATTTTTAACAACAATAGGTCCAACACATGACGATGAAATATGTATGTCCACTCCTTCAGATATCCTTCCCAAAGCTATAGAGGGTTATATCAGTTGATATAATTATCGATGAATCAAAATAAACCCTGGGTCTCTTTGGGCGAAATTTGTTTCGGGATATTAAAAGTCTCTCTGGCTGGTGCGCACTACGACTTTTAATGGGAGTATCCGATTTAATCCATACTTGGTACGTAATAACATTGTTTACCAAACTTAGATCGAGTTGGGAGATGAGGAATATCGGTCCACTACTCTTAGACCGATCAAAAAATCAAAATTTCCAAAGATAATATACTTAATTATAACCTCAGCCATATGGCTACAGAGGGTATATATAATCGACTTTGGACCAAATCCGTTAAGGACATTTGAAGTCGATATAGCGATGTCCGTCCGCCCGTCTGTCTGGCTGGCTGGTGAGCACGATAGCTCTCGGAGGGAGTATCCGATGAAGTCCAAACTTGGTACATCGTAATATTATTAAAGAATTAAATTGAGTTCGGAGATGGGCATTATCGGTCCTCCCCCACACAAGATAGAAATTTTCAAAGAACATATTTTACTGTACACAGAGAGAGAAAGGATAATCCGATTTTGCTCCAACTTTGCAAATCCTAATATTGGCATCAGTTCTAGGTCAGGTGCGAAAATGGACAATATCCCACTATCGAGTACCTACCCTACAAAGGGACAAAATTTTGAATAATTATAACTCTTACAAAATGTGATCTAAGCGATTGTCCAATTGTCTTAATATTTCACACATCCCAATAATTTAATTAACCCAAGGTCTGGTGTTAATATGGAATATATCGGTCCGCTCCTTCTGGTACCTTCCACACAAAAGATCGACATTTTCAAAAAAAAAAATATTTTTTGCACAGAAAGAGAAACGATAATCCGATTTCAACTTTGCAAATCCTAATATTTGCGTTATTTGTAGGTCAGGTGCGAAAATGGACAATATCAGCCCACTCCCTCTGTCACCTCCCCCACAAAGGTCAAACTTTTGAATTATTATAACTCCTATACAATGTGATTTAAGAGTCCAATTGTCTTCAAATTACACAAATCATAATGTTTTTATTAACTCAAGGTCTGGTGTGAAGATGGAATATATCGGTTCACTACTTCTGATACCAACCCCACAAAGGTTGAGAGTTTCGAATAACCAAAAAAGATTATAATATCCGAAATAAGCACCCGGTTCTGTTCATATTTCACATATCCGACTATTTCCACTAACACAAGATCTACTGTGAAGATGGGATATTTCGGTTTACTCCTTCTGGCAACTCCCCCACAAAGGTGCAAAAATATCGGCATAATTCTTTTTGTAACTTCCTCACAAAGGCTAAAAATTTTAAAACGCTGAAAATGCGAAATAAGAATCCGATTCTTTTTTAGGCTCCACACATTGTAATACAACTGCAAACTGAAAATCTCGTGAGAAGATGAGATATAGAATGCCACTCCTTCTGTTGCCTTTCTCATAAAGTGTCAAAACCATATATCTGATGACAAGTACATTTTGCAGAGCCCAATATTTTTATCATATTTGATGAAGTGGGAAAATGTTATACATCGGTTGTTATACCTCGCTTATCATACATCGGATATATTATGCCTCCTAGGACTGCATTATAATATATATGTGTGTAAATGTATCCCACAGTCCCTTAGAAAACATCAGCAGCATGCAATTCCCTTTGCAAAGTTCCCCATTGGGATACAATGCTGAGCACGTTGTCGGTATACACACAATGTGCCAGGACTCCCTCTTCCACACACACAATCGCACACACCACAGACGATGTGTAACAAACACCACAACATAGACTACAATTTATGTATTTCACTTCTTGGCATGACCTTCAAAAACTTGCTCCTGTATTTCCAACACAAACATAGGTATATAGGTAATTATATACCCCACATACATACATACATACACTTTTTCCCAGCATAAATTGTCGGCAGGAACATAAATAAAAACAAAAACGACAACAGACAAACACTCACACACATCTTGCACTTGAACTACTTATGTTTTGTGGATATGTAAATTTCACTGCCAATTTGAAATTCAATTTTTAAAACTTACATTGATTTGCTTAAAGACGAAGACAGGTTGTTTGGATGCTTGACACAAAGCGATAACTCAAATCTGCAGCCAATCTCAATTTTATTCAAATAATTTGATTAATTTAATTTGTTCTTGAATTTAGAAAATTTCACTTTTACTTTTGCTTTTCTTCGAATCGAAATAGCTTTTTGTGGGTGAAATGATTTTTTCGAAAATGAATATTTTTTTATTAGATTTGATTCTCTTTGAAAACACCACACTTTGTATTTATGTAACAACCGTTGTTCTTGTTGTCGAAGATGATTATGGGGTTTTACGCTTTTAAGGTACCCAACAATGCCGCTAACACTACACTAACAAACCGACGACGGAAACCGTTGCGGTATGACTGAACTTGATTCTTGAACAAAACACAGTTAAACTTGGACTTGGCCCGACGATTGTTTACAGTCAGACAGAGTCTAGGGAGTGCGTATGTGTGTAGATTTGTGCGGCTATGTTAATAACAGCACGACTTCTATGCATACAAATACATACATGTGTGGTTGTTTGCAAGCTGCTAAGTTTGTTGTCTGCGACAGTCAGTACAATAGCGAACATCATTATTGTGTTGCCATTGTCATCATCATTATCGTGATTATTATTAGCACAACAAAGAACCTAAGAGCGGAAGCAGACACAGGAAAGCTTAAAAACCCTCCAAAACATTGACTCTCACAAAAAGTTTTTTGAGAGAGAAGCTTTTTTGGCGCCAAAATATACCTACATTTCCTTCATAGCGCCAGTGTTGTCAATGTTTTTATTGTTCTTCGTCGGATCAAAATATTCGTGGGAGACTCCATATCTAGAGATAGAGATCGATAAAAGATAGAGGTTTGACATTTTGCACATCCATTGATGTAATTTCTGGGATAATTCATCTGTGGGTTTTTTGTATGGCGTTATGCACCATAGCTCAAGTGGATAACCAGAATCTCCTAAAACAGCATTTACATTTTATTGAAAACCATTTTATAGATCTTAAAACTTAGCTTATAGCCATTAATTTCTAATAACTAACAACTGCTCTAACAAGCACCGCTCTTCTGGGTGTTCCCGAACAAAAGAATTATTGACAGCTCGTTCATATTTCGAACATAACGCCAAAATATATTCGTCTTTGCATATCTAACAGTTTCAATCACATTTTTGAAAGAAAATCCAGGAATTTCATTCATATATCGCGCTATTTAACTCATTTTAAAAACATGTAAAAAAGTTTCGTCGGTATTACCAACAGATATATACCCACGGCCAATGTTCGATTATTTTAAAATATTTTGACTTCTATTACGAATTTTCAAACTCTTGACCCTCTATGAAGCGGATTTGGAAAGAATGGGTCAATATGGTCTATTTCGTATCGGACCTAAAAAATATGATTTAAATATTATTATAGAAATGAGTAAATCGAACATTTATATCCAATTTATGAGAAATCATAAATTCCATATTCATCTCAGGATTCTGGATGAGAGACATATATTTAGATATAGCAAGCTGTAAAGAATCGCTGAGTTGTTTCGCAATTTATGACAGATAAAAGTATTGAAAATGTTGTGCGGTACCAGAAGGGGGTCGCAGATATATATCTTCATACATACATCTTCACAACAGATCTTGTGTTAGCAAAAATGTTTGTATGTGTGAAATTTGAAGAGAGTTGAATGCTTATTTCGTTTTCTTTGAGCGTTATGTTTTCCAAATTTTTGAACCCTATGTAAGGGCAGGTAGCAAAAAAAATGGTCCGATCTCTACCATCTTTATAACAGATCGTGTGTTGATGGAAATATTGGGATTTACCATGTCTGGAATGGAATCGGATGTTGGTTTCGCTTTTTATGAACTTCATCATGGATATTCAAAATTTTGAGCGTTTGTGGGGGAAGTACCAAATGGAGTGGAACGATATATTCCGTCTTACTGCCAGATCATGGGTTCATAAAAATAGCAGAATGTGTGAAATTTGAAGACATAATATTTTTAAGAGTTATAATTATTCAAAATTTTGTCCCTTTGTGAGAGAGGCACTTGATGGAGTGTTCCAATATTATCTATTTTGGCACGAGACCTAGAACTAATGCAAATATAAGGATTTGCAAAATTAGAGAAAAATTAGATTTCTTTCTGTGCAGAATATATTTTTTTGAAAATTTCGACCTTTTGTGGGGGTGGTACCAGAACGAGTGGGCCGATGTTGTCCATCTTAACACAAGACCTTGGGTTAATGTAAATATTGAGATGTGTGAAATTTGAATACAATCGGACTCTTACATCACATTTTATGAGAGTTGTAATTATTTAAAATTTTGAGTATTTGTGGGGAGGTACTTGTTGGAGTTATCCGATACTGTCCATTTTCGCACCTGAGCACTAATGCAAATATTAGGATTTGCAAAATTGGAGCATAATCGGAATATCCTCTCTCTCCTTTTGTGCAGTAAATTATTTTTCTTCGAAAATGTCAACCTTTTACGATGTACCAAGTTTGGATCAAATCAAATACTCCCGTCGAGAGTTATCGTGTGCACCAGCCAGACAGACGGACCGACATCGCTAGATCGATTCCAAATGTCCTGAAACGGATTTGATCCAAAGAGTCTTAAGGTCTAAAACCGCTATTTCGATGAGGCTCGTTTTGGCAGTATCAAACGATATACAGGGTGAGGTGAAAAAACTGCAACCAACTTCAGACTACTGTAATTTCTAAGCCACTCGTCCGACAGCTGTTACAATTATTCCAGTGACGGCTCATTATACTGTTTACAAGCGTACAAAAGCATTTTGGTGAGAATTATTCAGAAAAAAGTTATTCGAGATGGAATTCAAGCGTGATAGTGTGATTTCTTTATATTTGGCTGGAAACCCACAAGTGGCTCTCTAACGATAGCACTCCAGCATTTTAATTTGAATAAATCTTTTGTGTCTCGTACCGTGAAGAAGTGGACGGAAGAAAACATTAACATCAGCAGAAATGGTTCGAAAAGTAAAGAAGCGACTTGATTGAAACCCGTGTCTCAGTGGCCGAAAAATGGCTGGTTAGCTGAACATATCGCAATATTCCATTCGGCAAATATCGGGGTAAAGCCATTGAAGTTCCAAAAGTGCAAGAACATACAAAAGCATTTTGGTGAGAATTATTCAGAAAAAAGTTATTCATGATGGAATTCAAGCGTAATAGTGTGATCTCTTTATATTTGGCTGGAAAACCACAAATGACTATCGTTAAAGCACTCCAGTATTTAAATGTGAATAAATCTTTTGTGTCTCGTACCATCGCTCGTTTCCCTGATACTGGTAGCGTAGCTCGAAGAAAACAGCAACATCAGCAGAAATGGTTCGAAAAGCAAAGAAGCGACTTGATCGAAACCCGCGTCGCAGTGGCCGAAAAATTGCTCGTCAGCTGAAAATATCGCAATATTCCATTCGGCAAATATTGAAAAATGAGCTCGGGGTAAAGCCATTGAAATTCCAAAAAGTGTAAGAACTTACACCGCATCAGCCGGGCAGCGTGTGACGGTTTCATTAGCCTTTTGAAGGCCATAATTCGTGCCAAAGGTGATCAATTCGAACAAATCTAAACTTATTATAAAATTTGATGCTATTTCCGACATATTTTGCTTTCATTCAATAAAATTAAAAAAAAATAGATTTCATATATATATATAGTCACTGTTTGATGCCGATTTTGGTTCAAAGGCATAAGTGGTTCATTATTCTTCGAAAATGAAAGAGAAGGATATTAGCCAAATGATATTGCCACAAAACCGAAGTTATATGCCTTTACATTAGTAGGTTTAAAATGTTTTTAATAGTATTCAACCAATCCGTGCTTGTCAGAAGAGCAATACTTTCTTTATCCAACATGCCACCGTGTACAATCTAAAGTTTACATTCCACCCAACTAAAAAAAGAAAACACACATTTTAATTAATATTTCCATTTTGAATTTATTTTCTAATCATTTCTTTTTCATTATTTTCGAATTTGTTTATTATTAATTTTATTCATCATTTCAGTGTATGTTGAAGTTTTGTTGTTATTTTGGTGAGAGATTATTATTGTTATCCCAACATATTTCTTTGTGTGTGTGTATTTTTATCTTTTTTCATTTTTTTAATAATAATCATATTTTGTATGTTGTATCTGTTAAGAGTTCTTTTTTCCTTTGTTTTATACCGATATTTTTTTATATGGTAGGTAAGTGTAATTATTTTCTTCTTGTTTATTAATAATTTATATAATATAAATAATATTTATTTCAATTATGTATATTCATTCATTTCTTTATATTGATGTTGGGTGTTGTAAATGCAAAAAGCAAAACAAAACAAAAATGAATGATTAAAATAAAAACCCTATGGTAAAACCCTATGGTACACGCTGATTGCGTGTGTGTTCCAAAAAAAAAACAAAGAAAAATGGGATAAAGAGAAGTTTTGGCCGAAGTTCAAGGTTAAATTTAAATTTTGTATTTTTCAAAAACATATTTGAAATCGATTTTTTTATTTATAGCTTCTGTGTCAGATTCAACTGTAAACCAACAACCGTAATAAAAGTAAGGAACGACAGCAAAAACTACTTGCAAAATACCCCCACGACTATCTCGTTAAAATTCATTGTTCTCCATGACAAAACCCCAGCCAAAACTTTTCAACCCCCGTGTTAAGAACATAAAAAAATATGTGAAAGTTAACCAAAAAAATGAAATGTTTTATTGAAAATTGTTCATTTATTTTATGTGTAATAGAAGTCATAAAGCATCAGTTGTATCTGGTTCTGCTACTTAGGTAGTAGGTAAAAAAGAATTATTAATAATAAAAATAATAGTTATAACCTAAAAAAATTACAATTCTTAAAAAAACAATTTAAATCAAATTTATATTTTTTTGTTTCTTACGTTTAGCTTCGAGTTATAAGAAGGGGAAGGACAGTTATTATTAAATATAATTACAAAAACACAGTTTTATTTAAATTTGTTATTATTACTTCTTGTTGTGTTTTAAATAGTTTGATGAATTATTATTTTTTTTTAAATATATATATAAAAAATCGAAGGGAACAATTCTTTTATTAGAAAATAATGAATTTCTTTTAATGTTAGAAATAATAATATTATATTAAGCTAATATTTTCATTACTTTTATATTTATAGGTTTTGCAATGTTTTTATTTTTTTGTTTGTTTTTGTTTTATTTTTTATCAATTATTTATAAACTAAATAACTATTCTGAATTTTTATACATGGTTCTCTTATATCTTGACAGATTTTACTTGAATTGTTTTTTTTTTAGAATTTTTTATTTTTTTGTTTTGTTTTATGTTTAAGCTTAGAACTTAAGGCAAAATTACAAACTAAATTTTTGTTATTTATTTTCATTAGATTTTTTTTGTAATTTTTGTTACTCAAGTAATTAAAGTTTAAACGAACTTAAAAACAAGATTTTGTAATGCAAAGATCATTTCTGTTTGTTAAAGTGTTGTTGTTGTTGTTGTTTTTTATATTTTAAATATCTATATATTTTCTGTATAAGGTTATTTTGTAATTGTATGTATATATATAATTATATTATAATATTTATATATTTGTTTCATTAAATCTTATAGTATTGACTTAAAATGAAAGAAAACACTGTTTATTATTAGTTTAATTTAATTTGTTGTATATGCAGCATAAAAGTTACTTTTCAACTGAATTTTACAGTGTGTAGTATTTTTTATATATATTTTTTTGTCTGTTTTTTTTTTTATTTTGCAAATGTATATTCCTTTAACATTTTGCTTGTATGTCAAGAATATTTTTATATTTTAACTTTTATCATTTTATAATTATGAAAAACTATATAATTATGTATCTGTATAGTATATATTTATTGTATGCTTTATTATAATATTGTACATTATTTAAGTGTCGGTTTTTCATTACTTGCATTCTGTTGTTTTTTTTTTTGTTTTTGTTTTTAATTTTTTACTTTCCTGTTAAGAGGTGTAATGCATTAGTCTTAGCGGTTTTGTTGTTGTTTTTGTTATAGGTATATTTTAATGTTTATATTGATTTTCCGTATATATGTATGTGTGTATTATTTCATTGTAAAAATAGGTAGTTTTTGTTAAAGTGGTTTCATTTCTTTCTATGAATGGTGACATTAATGTTCGCCTTCGTTTCTATAAACCAAGATTTGGTCAACCATCCAACAAATGTCTGTGTGAAAAAAGAACTTGTTGCTTTTTTTTTTTTTTTGTTATCATGTGACAGAAAACATTACATCCATCCATTTATGTGATATTATATATCTATTTAAAAACAGCCAACAGTTTTTAACATTTAATTTAATTTTCTTGCTTTTCATTTGGTTCAATGTTAAATTTAAATACGAAATAAATCCAACAAAAGAAACAAATCAAATTTTCTAATTCTGTGCATGTGTATTGGCCAATATAAGTCACACGAATTTTAACTTGAAAGATGGAAAGGAAAATAAGATCTTAAAAACTTTCTAGATAAAAAAACATTATTCTGATAACTAACGAAAAAAAATCCTTGAAAATATTTGTTTTATGTTTCGCCGAAATTAACGTCTCTTTTCTGATTTTATAACAATAATAAGAAATGATATTGAAAATAAATACGACAATATATATAAACACAAATTTTATCGTCGGAAAATATATTCTATTAGAGAAGAAATGACCGAAAAACATAAACCATTCACATAAGAAAACATCATTTCTCAACTGTCGGTAAAGGTCTAAATTTTGCACAGAATATGTGTCCAGTTTTTGAACACAAACGATGACACAAGTATCGAAATAATTTATCCAATACATTGTGCATTGTTTTTTCAACTTTACATAAAGAAATTTATTTGTAGTTTGTTTAATAAATATTTATATTTAAATATAATTTGTAATCATTGCATTTTTGCTCTATTTTTCCTTACTATTACAGTTTTCAATTATAAACAAAATTCTTTCTTTCTGCGTGTTATATGTGTTTTTTGTTTTAACGAAAAGAAAACTTACAATTTAAGGAAAGTCATTGAAAATTAATAAAAATAAGAAAATATACATTTATGTTTGCTGTTGATAAGCGTTTTTAAAGAATCTTGTCAGTATATATTTAGAAAAGGTAGAAAAGGTAACTAAAAAAAAATGAATGAAAAAATACGAGTCAATTTTAAGTTTTGCAAAGCACATGGATTGGTTTAAATTTCTTTTTCAAATGTAGTTTGCTGTTTCAATATCTATCTATATGGTGATAATAAGCCAATTACAACACACATATACACGATTCCTGTTGTTGTTTCTTAAAGTGTTGTTCTTTTTTTGTTTTGTCTTAAAAATAACGATTGTTGTTATTGTTTGCATTGAGGTTGTTGTTATTTTTCAGATTACCATTAAATGAGTGTTGTTGCTGTTGCAGTGGCGGCAATGGATGTTGCATGTTGTGAGAATAATGTTGCTGTTGTTGCATTTGGGATGGATGCGGCGGCTGTTCAATGGTTAAGTCGTGGGTTTTATACACTGTACGCTGTTGCTGAAAGTATTGTTGTTGCTGCTGCTGTTGTTGTGGATTAGACGACGCTTGTGGGTGTAAGAGTTGCGTTGCCGGCTGATAATGTTGCTGTTGTTGCATTTGGGGCTGCTTGTGACTACGTATACGATTGTGTTGTTGTTGCTGCTGCTGCTGTTGTTGTTGTTGTTCATCACTACTATATCTACTACTATTGGCTTGGGTTGTCACATGGTAATGTTGCTGTTGCTGCTGCTGCTGTTGTTGTTTAGGATGATGCGTCTGCTGATTGGGATGATGATGATATCTAACATTGGCGACAGCAGACGCCTGAAGTCACAACTAATCTTCATCGCTCAGGGCTTCGTACTGAGCCGAAAGCAAAGGTTTGGGTTCATTTGATGCGCCTCCAGGCCCACCACCGGGGCCGCCGCCACCACCGCCGCCGGACGTCGTGCTTACCACCGAATTGGGTCCAGCATCATGTACCCCACCGCCACTGCTATGCAAAACATGTGTTGGCTGTTTGTGTGCCGATGCTGCAGCGCTGCTTTGCATTTGGTGGGCTGCATTAAGACTCATTTGTGGTGGTGGCGGCAAACCACCGGCCGAGCTCGGTACATTCAACGCACTGTAGGGATACGCATAGGTTGTGGCTGCAAATGTTGTCACAGGGGTCTGTTGATAGGCAACAGCTCCACCACTGCCAGCGCCTCCAGCACCGCCGCCCTTACTTGAGGGATGCGATGAATCACTGCTAGCCGAATGTCTTCCACTATCTCTCTCATCATATTGATTTGGTGTTTTACGTGGCTCATGGCTATCCTTGAGACGATGGTCGTGATCATTGGCCACTGGGCCGCCACCACCACCGGCCCGGTGGTCGTCTTCTGTTCGCATTACCACCTGTATCCGATCATGCACATACTTCATGGTATCAAATGTGTGAATTTGCGCAACCTGTGATGGTGGCGCTGAGGATGATGAACCACCAGCCGAACTGCCCGGTCCTGAATCATAGGGCGACTGCCTCATCAGAGACGAACCATGGCTTGCACCCGGTGGAGGGGCACCATGCTGTTGTTGCTGCTGCTGCTGCTGTTGTTGTTGGTAATGGTATTCATGTGCCATGAAATCCGGCAGATATTTACGTGGACTCACCGCCTGGGGCATTCGTATAATATTACGATCATCACCGGGTGTAGTGGAACGTCCACCACTGTTTGTCGGCGTGCCAGGGCCAGAACTAGAATTTACGCTTGATTGGGAATTTGGTGGACATCCCGCCTTTGATGCAGCCGCGGCGGCAGCAGCTTCCGCATCTTTTTGCACACGCCTATTCATTTTCCATCTATCCGGGGTTACTATGCTCTGAGCATCCTGCATATAGGGCATAAAATTGGCTGGATGTGGAGCAGGCCTGAAATGCATGGGAACCGTGCCGTAGTCGTTCGTTATAATGGTTTCGGCCAATTCGCCAAAAGTTATATTTTTCGTTCGCATTTGCGACGATTGTGATGAAGGGGGAGCTTGTGATGTGGGTGGTGGTGGTCCACTGTTGCGAACATTACGGGCGTTTTGTGTCGATTCGTGTTGAACACTGCTGCCAGGTACACCGCTCGATGAAGAGGATCCGACACTGGCCCGATCGTTGTCCAAATCAATATTAATAACATTCGGCGAAGAGGATTTGCCATTATTCTCCGCGGCCTGTAAGGAGGATATCACATTGGACGCATGTCGTGGGGCACCAATGTCACGAGAATTGTACTGTTGAAAAAAGAATCGCATTATTAACAACCGCAAACATTTATTGCATTTGGGGGTAACTAGATGCTAAAAAAGACGACTTACAAATCCACTTCTGGGCAAATCGCGATTGACACTCATGCTGCCGGGCTCTGTACTCCTTTGGCTCATTTGTTGAATAACTATTGCATCTATTAAGTTCTGGGCGGACAGTGTTGCATCGGTTGGCGGTTGCCCTTGATGTCTTAGGTCTCTGTGGTATCTATAATGGAAGTGAATTAGTTGCAATTTACCATGCATACACTCCTCTCCTCTCTCATCGAATACTTACGGGTCTCTTTCACGATCTGGTATCGATCGCGGTGGTCCTGAATCGGGTGGGCCACGTATGTAATGGGGCCCAGCGACACCTGCAGCAGCTGCAACAGCCGCTGCGGTTACTGCATTACCTGCGTAGATACGTTCCATACGTCTGCCATCACGCTCTCGTTCTTCGGCAGCTCTTTCTTGTTCCCTTCTTTCGCGGTCTCGTTCTCGATCACGCTCGCGTTCTCTTTCACGATCTCGTTGCTCGCGTTCTCTTTCACGATCTCGTTGCTCACGATCTAACCGTTCCGCGTGCATCCGTTCTATGCGGTCGCGTTCTTGTCTCTTCAATTGCATATCACGATCGCGTTTCGCCTGCTGTTCCATGTAGCGGCGTTGCATATCAGCATGCTGCCTGTACTGATGTTGTGCAGCCTGCTGCTGTTGGGCCGCTGCAACAGCCATGGCTTGTTGTTGGTGATGAAGGACAGCTATGTGTTGTTCGCGATTCATTTGATAGCGGATGGCATCGTGATGTGTGGGAGGTGGTGGTTGCTGCGACTGGCCCGAAGATGAAGGCGGTGGCGGCGGACCCGATGTCACCGATGTTGCCGATGACGAGGACTTGTCATCTTTCTGTGAGGGCACTGGCAATTGTGGCTGCTGTACGGCCAGATCAACGAATGACGAGAATGCATCGTGACCGGCTAAAGAAATAAAAGGATCCAAATGAACTTTCCGGCCACCAGATTCTCTTTCTATTTGTTCTGCGGTCTTACCTGGCGGATAATTGTGCGACATCACAACATGCATCCGACCTTGGGGTGGTGCTGCAGGTGATGGTGGTTTAGAACCGCCAGTGTTATGGCGTTGGATAACACCTTGCCTAGGCGGTGGTGGAGTACGATGTGGACTGGGAGTACTTAAAATGAAAGTGTATTAATTTAAATAACAAACAAATCTTCTGATGGAATTATGTTAGCTTACCTGTTGCTGTGTTCTGCTGGTGATTCTCTGCTAGAGTACTCTGTACGGCCCCTATCCTTATCATAATATACTAGACCGCTTCCGCTGTTGCGTGGCGACGGTGATTCCTTTCCAGATCCTGGGGCCCCCGTCGAATTAGCACTACCACTCCTGGGCACACTGCGTTGCTGCTGTCCCTGCATCTGCTGTGACGTTATATAGTCGTGCATAACAATCTGCCTGGTGCTCAGTACCGGAGACTGTTCCACGGTGTAGGGTGCTCTCGAATAGCTGCCAACAGCATAGGCGTTTTGTGGTGGCGGCTGTGGCGACGATTGTTGTTGCGACTGCGGCGGCGGTGGTGGGTGATGTTGCTGGGCTGGACTTTGTCTCTGTGACGGCTTGAAAGCAAATTCGTAAGCTCGCTTGCTGTCCAAAGGGGCCGGCAAGTGAATGGGAGTCCCCTGGGTAATGGAGCCAAGTTTGTTGTTCTCTGTTGGCCCACCAGCGCCCGATGGAGGTGTTTGACGCAGCAAGTTGTCAAACTTGGGACTTAGTGTTGCTCCAGCAGTGGCCGAGTGCACAATGATTTGTTGAGCGGCATTACTGACGGGTGTACCATGGGTAATCGAACCCTTGGGACCGACCAACAATTGTTGTTGTTGCTGTTGTGAAGGCGACGGCGCCTGCCCGTGAGAACTGGGCGGATGTATAAGTTGTGGACTCAATTTTGGTGGCATCTTATTAAGGCCTCCCACGCCTTTACTGTGTTGACTCGACAACTGCATATGCGATGGCGGAGGTTGAGAAGGCGGTGCTTGAGAAGTTGGGCCACCACGTCCCGAACCACTACTTACTGGTATGGTGGGTGGAATGGGGACAGGTACTTGTGACACATAAAGAGATCCCGGTGGTGGAACCTTACCCACACCGACACTCGCTGAGTGAGGATGAAAAAGGTACGCGTGATTGTTCGGAGCTCCGATGAGGGGAGTGGGATCGGAACCACGATATATGCTGGGAGCGTTGCCAACATGTTTAACTGCCGTATTTGTTTGAGGCTGTTGATGTCGCGAGAGGCCGCTCTCACTGCCACCACCCACGCCGGTTGCAGACGAGGACGACGATGACGCATTTAGCGACGAAGAGTTATGGGGAGAAGGACCATCCCGTGATGGTTTCTTTATAGACAGATCCAATGTTTGTGGCTCCGGTTCGTTGTTGCGAGATGTAGCATAAATAATGGCATCAGGAGGCGGGCCGGGCACCACATGCGGCGGCGTCGATGTTTTCCCTGACTTTAGTACTGGAGTAATTGTGGCCTTAATGTCATGCTGTTGGTGATGCATTAGACCACCTGGACCTCCTGGAGGCATCAAATGCTGACCCGGTATATAAGAGTTCACCACTGACAGGGTGGCCAAATTCTCTGGATGGCCTGGAGCATTTGCAGCAGATTGTGGCGCTTGTTTTTGTGATTGTCGTACATTTAAGTTTTGTACGGAATTTAGAGTCGATCCACTATCGGCATTGCCGATGCCACCGCCGCTGGCAACTATCGGTTGACCGTGAGCCTGAGGTTGATGTTTAATGGATCCGTCGTTGCGGTATTCTCTAACTAGCATTACATCATTATTGGAATTGGAATTGTTGCTGCTATTGTTGTTACTACTGTTGTTATTTGAATTGTTATTAGCAGAGCTTCCGCCTAAAATATCATTACGAATTCTGTTGTTGGGCGACGAATCGACGGACAGACGCATAGGCGGCTGCTGAGCTTTAGTCATTGCAGAATTAGGCAGTTGATTTGACGGAGGTTGATTGGATGGCTTAGATGGAGGTGGACCTTTCTGTTTGAACGAATGCTCAATAACTGAGAAGAGAAAGCCCTGCAGGTTTACTGCACTTGGTCCAGTGGCAGAGGAGACTACAACAGAATTGCTGCTGCTACTACTACTATTCGTGTTATTCAATATCATTTTGGGACTTTGACGATTGGCTGGAGAATTTTCGTTCTCTTCATCGGCGGTTTCTGTGGCCGAGGAGTCATATTCCTCGGAAGTCTTTTGTTTCTTGGGGGCATGGCCCAATGGTGGCAGCAAACGTTCATCCGACTTGATAATTGTTACTGATTGGGAACCAACACCAGCATTAGCACTAACAGCACCACTCCCGCCGCCACCACTTACAGTGGGCGTGGTAGTGTCTGGATTGCTTGAACTGTTTCCAATACCACCAGCCGAGCTGGCAGTTGATATACCTCCGGCAGCCGTTGCTGCTGGTTGCACGCTGCCAAGCATTTGTGCAGATGGCTTTTGCCCAAGATCTTTGGCAAGCGAATTATGACGCTGAGGATTTTCCGGACTCTCCACAGATGCAGTATCGCTACCGCCTGGTTCGCGTTCATCACACGACGACGTACTGACATCCGATTCATCGCCCTCTGTACGTCGTTCTTCGTCCGTTAGATTTATGTGAGGATCCAATTTGCGACGAATCCGCATCAGACAAGCCGAACAGCAACGCGTTGCTTGGGCAGGTATTTGGAATTCTTGCATAATCGGATCGCGGACATCCGGCGCCAGTTCGTAAAGGCGGGCTGGTATATTATGCAAACGTTTGGCACGATCTTTGGGATTGGGACAGGTCGGTAGGGGGCAATTGGGATAACGAGTGCGCACCGATTTGCATTGACATGTATTGCAGACACGTGCACCAACTGGTATAGTATCATCGGATATGCCATACTGTTGACCACGACCCTTTTTAAGTGGGCGAGTACGGGGACAATTTTCAGCTTTGCAAACAAAACAGGTGGCGAGTTTATCTGTTAGTGGAAGAAGAGAAAAAAAAATGAAAAATTAGTGGAGAATTGGAAAAATAAAATTGATGCTCTGATAAAAAAAGTATATATTTTAAAAATCCGCAAAAAGAATTAAACTCAGTTTTTCGGCTCTGCCAAGTAACACTGACGATTGATTATGGCTAATTTTAAATCTTGTATATTCTAGGATCACTTGAACGGTTTAGCTAATTATTTTGAATTAAATGTATAAACGAAGTTCTTTCTTGACAACCAACCAACCAACCCCCCATATTATTACGTTAGTCTGTTTTCAATAATGTCTTGCGGTTAATAAGAAAATTATTCCCTCTAGAATTGGGGCAATTCTTTGATCTCCTTTCTGGGTATGTTCCATAAAATAACAAACAAACAAATACCCATAGAACATAAAAAATCATATCTTGGAATTACTTGTTAAGAACGAGGGTAAAGGGCGAGGAAAGTAAGATACTGTAGAGAAAAATAAATCACGTTAATTAAAATAAAATCAAAATAAATTTTCAAAGTATGTTTGTGTTGGCAAGTCTACAATGTTCCTTTTTTAAATAGCTTTTTATTTTTGTTTTTGCTTTAAATGTATTTACATCCTCCCACCACCCATGGATGTCCTTTGTTACTTCTATGAATTTTTTAACGGTTAAAACAGTAAGTGGTGTTTTGAGTATGGTCACCACGTTATCGTCGTCGTCATCATCATCGTCCTGGGCATTATCTTCATCATCGTCATAACCACACCGCCACCACCACCGCCATCCATCCATCCATCCATTCAAAATGAAAATTGCAAATAATTGTAAGTGGTTTATTAAAAATTAAACATTTTTACATTTCTCCGTTATTCGTCCATTTTTTCATTTTTGGGTGCTGGTTTTGCTGAGCGAATAGCCTGCCAGCCAGCCAGACAAGAAAATACCGTTTTGTGTATGGCAACAAGGACGAGATTTACCGGAGATGGAGTAATGCCAGTTGTTGTATTTTAAATATTGGACCTGAATGAATAATCAAATGACCAAACGGATTGATAGAAACAAAATGGTATGGGTCATGAGGGGGTGGGTGGTCGAAGTGAAATCAATTAACAAAGCAAAATTTACAATAAAAATAATAACAATAACTTCTCACAAAATTACTTTTGTTTCGAATCTACAGAGAGTCAAATCAGCAATTACATACATTTACAGACAAAAAAAAAATGAAGAGAGAATCTATTTATACCCTACACCACTAGGTGGTCAGGGTATTATGTATTTGTGCATTTGTTTGTAAAAGGCAAAAGGAAACGAAATAGACCCCAAACTCCTTTTGATGATCTGCATAGAATCACATTCTAAATCGATTTATGCATGTCCGCCCGTCAGTCCATGTATTATTATGAACAAAGCACAGGTCGCATTTATTGCCCGATCCAGCTGCACAATTTTGCACAAGTCATTTGTTTGACCCAAGGACGAACTCTATTGAAATTGGAGACAATCGGTCAAAATTTAAATATAGCTCCCACATATATCTTCGTCCGATTTGCCTTTCATTGTGGACCATACGTGTAATATCAGACCAAATAGTATGGAATTTTGCATATACGATCAAATTAAGGCTGGAAATAAGTATGCCAAATTTGATCGAAACCGGTTCAGACATATAGCTATAGCTCCCAAACATATTGTACATCCCGTTTGATATTTTTGTCCTCCGCAGCCGTAATATCCACTCTGCAACAACGATACTTTGCCAAATTCTATCGAGATCGGCTCAGATTTGAATATAACTGCCATATATATCTTTGTCCGATTTGTGTTTTTTTGTGCACCAAATGTGTAATATTAGCTCAAATGGGATGTAAATTGGAACTTACGACCATTTGAATTGAGCCTAGAAACAAGTATGTCAAGTTTGGTGAAAATCGGCACATATAAAGCTATAGCTCCCATATATATTGTTCATTCTATTTGCTATATTCTTTATTTATTTTTTTCATTATATGATGCTCTACTAAATATGCAAAAGGGTGCAGGCTACCATGAAGTCGGCCACACCCGACTTTTAGACTTTCTTTACTGATTATTCGGAATTTACAGATATTCGGAATTCGGATATAAGGTTTTTTTTGTGTGTTTAGGCGCTATTTCAAACCGATTTTTTCTGTAATTCTTGAGAAAGTGTTCCCTGTGTAGGACACATCGTTGCAGAGATCTGTACGTACATATAGGCCCAAGTTTTGATGTAGACCTCAAATAACTGTACCTCCAGATATTCGATATTTTGATTATTTGTGCCACACAGTTTTCACCCGAAGTTGTTTCAAATTTGGTATTTGGAGTTCGTAATGGAAACCAGCTTCTGTGACAGAAATTTTCCTGTACAAATTCACGTCTTCGTATAGATCCCATATCACCAATATTCGGTGTTTTGACGATTTTAGCTACATTTTTGAAAAGAATTATCTCAAATTTCGTAATAGACGCCACCTTCTCTGTGCAGATAATTGGCTGTAGAGGTTCTAATTTTCGTATAGCCCCATATAATTATAACACCAGATATTGGGAATTTTTTAAATTATAACGTATGTTTTCAAAGAATTTTTTTTTAAATATCGAAGTTTCTTCCGATTGGTGGAGGGTAATGCCGAACTTGTGGTTCGAACATAATTTTTCGAGCTCCTTAAAGTATGCTATAAAAAGGCTAAAGACAAATATCTCTAACATTCCTATGACTCTAACATGGCGCATGTTAACTAGCTTACATTTTAACTCAGAAAAAAAGAATTTAACGTCTTACGCCGATTTTTACTAGATTATCCAAAACAACAAATCCTAATATGTGATGACAACCTTTAAAACAGTATTAATTTTCCTAAAACACTCCGTTAAGACGTTTTCGCTCAGAAGAAGAGAGACATTAGAGAAAAAAGCTAATTTAAATACCCTTTTGTTAAGTGTATTTACATTTTTCTGCCATGCATTTATCTTAATTGCGTTACCCCACCACCAACCTCTCCCCTATCACCATTCTCAGACAAAATAGATGTTCGTCCTGCTCTTTGGTACTTTTGTTGGGTTTAACATGTGCGCAGCATCGCTCACTCTTCTCGTTACTGCTTATTAGTAATTCATCATTATTTTTAATTTCTTACCATTATCACTTAACGTGTATTTGTTTTTCGTTTTTTATTAATTTCTTTTTTTTTTGTACGGGCAACAGAGTTTGCTTTGTGTCCATTTACATTTTGCTCTCTCCCCCCTCTCTCTCTCCATCTCTCACTGTGAATGTATTTATTTGAATATCATTAAAATTTTAATAAAAGCCCAAATACACAAACTGAGATTTCAATAAAAATTAAAAATGAACAAAAAAAAAGTAACCACCAAATATTCAATTACCGCACTTGATGTGGGGACGGACGCTAAGAGAGGAGGGATGGGGTATTGTTTCCATTTGTGTTTTATGAGAATTAAATCGTTTGCATATGACTCAAGAGGCTTAATGTCTCAATGAAACACCCGCTAGGTACAAAAATACAGTTATGAGAAAAGGAACATAAATTCCATATTGTTATTATTGTTAAATTTATATTAACATTAAATTATAATTCTCGTATAATTCAATTTTCTGAAGTATCCTTTCGTTTTGCCACGAATCCACTACTCCGCAGAATGTCAGACCAGGCAATAATAAGATTAGTTGACGGTGATAAGAAATTCATTGTAACATTAACACCCCTAATCAATGTTTGAAATGTTATAGGGTTATACTTGTATCGTACACCATTGCAATGGTGTGACCGAACGACCGACCGACCTAACAACAACAATCTGATGTCCATTTTTTGATGGATGATAAAAATCTCTGTGTGACAAATGGGCAAATAAACAAATTCAATTGACATTAACATGACACAAATAAACAAATAATCGACATGTCTATAAACATCAGTGCACCACATACCATGGGGCATTCAAACATGTGTTTGTGTGTGTGTGTAAATTACATTTCATGTAGTTTTATTTACACCTCAAAATGTCCGTTCTCTTTACCTTACTCTTTAGTTTCGCATTGCATCTTCTCTTCAATGTGTTCTCTCTTCTTGTCCCTTTCACGCCGCTCTATCGAACACTTTATCACCCATATTATATATTTACACACAACTGTCAAAAGTAGTGATGTTGTTGTGATGGCTGTTGATGGTCGCCAGGGCAGAGAACAATATGAAAATTGATTAACTCAAAAAGAATAAAAAATCAAACAAAACGGCAAAAAAAATGTCAGGTAAATCACAAAGTGAGCTCGTCGATGAGTAGCGCTGTAGGTCGGACGCATCGACCGGACCAATGACCAATCAGACAAGCAGACGGACGGCCCCCCCTCTAGGCCAGGGCGAGTAATTGTAATTAATTACTGTTTTATGTATGTATGATGAAATGTATTCTTGAGCTGGCATGATGGGGCGGCACAAAAAAATATTTTTTAATTATTTTCATTGCTTTGCCGAAAGAGAGAAAATAGCTCATCGGAGTTTTTTATGCTGCGGTTGTCACTTTAAATATCATTTAATTAACACGATTTTCCATTAATTCAAGTTATTTACACATGAACGATTTCAGCTGTGTGTGTGTGTGAACTGGGGGGTTGGTTGCGTACATTTTCCTCTCAGCTCTCACACCCACATCTGTGACATAAAACAATTCTACCGGTGACATTTATATGGCTCAGCAGCTTCAATACTTGATGGACTTCTTTGTTGTGGTGAGTGGTGGGTAGTGCGTACGTTTGTGTGTGTCATCACTAGAATGCTCTGCAACAGACAAATGATGCTGCTGCTGCTGCCACTCTCAATGCTGATGATGATGTTGACGATGATTGTAATACCACTGGTCGGTCTGTGGGATGCACATGCAATACAATCAATATAACTGCTGAATATTGACAATATCAGCAATTTATGTCATCCATCTATGAAAGTCGACAATGGCATCAAGTGAGACGTA